CTTCTCTTAAAAATCATTTGGCAAAATACGTCTTTTATTACAGGGTTTCGGCTTGTCAGTCTATGAATTATTGGTTGGCTAAAAAAAAAAAATTTAAACCGTATTATGGGGGGGGAAACCCACAATTTAAAACAATGAAAGTATAACAAAAAGCAGCAAAACATCCAAGTTGTTGTTAAAAACATGGGTTAAAAAACCTGCTTACACATCAAGGGTTTGTCTTAAACCAGTTTCTCAACTTTGGCAGCTTTAAATAGAGATGGACTTCTCCTCCCAGAATTCCCTAGTCAGCATGCTGGGAGTTGGAGTTCACAGATCTTAAAAGTTGCCGAGGTTGAGAAACACTGCTCTAAATAAAAACGTGTTGCAGGTTGTTGGAAGAACAAAAGGGGAGCTAACTTAATCCCTTCTAGCAGAAACTTTTTCAGAACTTGCTAGTAATACTGAGAATAACAGTGTATTTCTGATAGCCTAAGAGAAAATCTAAATGCCTGAGTAACATGGTCTTTTTGCCATCTTGTTTCCCTGAAAACAAGACCTCCCCAGATAATAAGCCCAATTGTGCTTTTGAGCGTATGCACTAAAATAAGCCCTCCCGAAAATATTTAAACTCATGCACAGCCAGTCCCTGTCATTTCCTCTGGTTGCTTGCCATGCAAACAACACGTGAGGAGGCAAGAGAGGAGGAGGGGGGAAAGGCGGGGGGGAAACATGCCCCATGCATCCCACACGCCTTTGCCTAATGGCCGCTCCCACAATCCTAGCCATGACCCTTCTGACACACTAATGGCTGTCACAAAAAGAGTGACACACCCAGTGACGCACAACACAGCAGCAGCCATGAGGTGATCACAGTCGCCGCCTCCTGCACCTTAAAAATACAAAACCTCCCCAAAAATAAGGCCAAGTGCTTATTTTGGGGGTCAAAAGAAAACAAGACCTTGTCTTATTTTGGGGGAAACATGGTAGCTTGCTTCAAGTCAAATTGGGCTTTATAGGGTATAACTAAATCCTTGTATTGTGTCCCAAAATAAGCTAGGAGTTTCACTAGTAGTAGTGAACTGGTTGTAAGAGTTGCATGGTTAATTAGCCAGACTAGCTTCATTCCAGAGGCTCTTTCCAAGCCCTTCAAAAGCCGAGCCACCTACCTAAAATACGTTGCAGAAGGTCATCTGAGTTGAGAAGAAGGAAGAGATCACATGGCTGATTTCCCCATCAGTCTTAACTAGATGAGTGACTGCTCATCTGGAATCAGGTTCGGTTTGATCTACATCTGTAGGATGCTGTAGGATTCAAGCAGGTCCCTTGCATGTAAATAAAAAGAGAGCATTCGAGAAGATCTTGAGGATTAATCTCTGCAAAGATTGGGCATTCTGGAAAGCAGACCCATTCCATCCAGGAACCTCAAAAAGTTGGAGGTATCAGAAACAACCAAGACATCCAGAAAAAGTATTATGGTCACATTCCCTAAGATGTCAACCATTCATCTAAGATGACCAAAGTAACCTTACCTAGTAAACAGGCATCCCCTCCATGAACCTTCCCAATATTTATTTCAATTAATTTTTTATACCCCCAGACACATATGACCATGGATACTTTTAAAGGAATGTGTGAAATCATTTTAAAGAAGGAGCTTTTCTGACCTAGACTTCCCCAGCAACCTGAAGCCGAGTCCGAGTCCCGATAAACTCCTTTTATTTAATTTACAGTGAATTCCTCTCCAGCATGTCCCAACCCACAGTCTTTCAAGATAGTTCACAATTACCGACCTTTATCAGGCTTGGAGAGTGGCCAGGCTGATCTCTTTCAGATGCCGCAATACTTGGCAAGAATGCAGGCATGAACTAATTGTCTCCTGCAAACTCCACTCCCCCTTTTGCTCCTCCTTTATTCCCTATGGGAAG